AGATATAAATATAGATATAGATATAGATATAGATATAGATATAGATAAAGATAAAGATATAGATGTAGATGTAGATGTAGATGTAAATAATAATATAGATATAGAAATAGAGGTAGGTATATAGAACTCATGTATTTGTATATTATAGTTACAGCAACAGCTGCAACAATAGTAATAGCGACAAAAACAACATCAACCATTTAAAAACAGGAAATCCACACATCAAGCAACAAATAACCAAACAAAAACATTTATAAAAGAAACAACAACAAAAAACCGTCGTGCCAATATCCTCAGAGCCCCGTGCGCTTCCACACAGCGGCCAAAAAAATCCCCCAAGACGCCATGGTCATTGAGTTGGCCCCCAACCCGCTGTTCCAGTCAATCCTGAAGCGCACTGTGGGAGGTGGAGTGACTGTGTTCAGTCTTATGAAGGCTGGTCAGGCGGACAATGTGGAGTATTTCCTCAACCAGATGGGACAGTGAGTTCTTTCTTTGTAATAGCTTGTTTGTTGTTTTGTTGTGTTGTTTTTTAACCAGGTTTAGTTTTAGTAAGAGTTTTACTGCTTTTACGGCACTTGCAACACGATAAAGTTATATAACTACCGAGGAAAAGAGGTATTACAAGAGAGTAACAAACAAAAAAAGGAGGAGAGTTCAGGACGACAGATGGTTTGTGTGTGTGTGTGTGTGTGTGTGTGTGTGTGTGTGTGTGTGTGTGTGTGTGTGTGTGTGTGTGTGTTTGTTTGTTTTTTGGTAAGTGTTTAACGGCGCTCGCAACTGTATACGGTCATATGAGCGTACGGGACACATTAAACACTTTCAGTTGGTAGGAAATTTGGAATTTTGCCCGGGTAGCGGCTGAAGCCTACTCTTATCGTTTTTAGACCACCAAGGGATCTTTAACGTGTGCAACTTGCACATGGGACCTCCAAGACTTTTAACCCTTTTTTCTAGAAGGCTAGGTGTCGACCTTTCCTACCAGAAGATCAGGGCTGAAAGACAGCAGTAAGAAGGGGTCAAGGAGAAGCAATTAAAAGGTTGCAGAAAGAGTCAGAAGCCCAGAGGAGGGGGCGAAGGAGATGGGGGTGGGGGCAGAAAAAAGGAGACGAAAGCAGACGACAGAACATTGCTAGAGAGCAGGAAAGGAGGTGATAGGAGACAATTTTAGAGAAGACATTTTTCCGTCGCTACCTGGATTCGAACCCGGGACCTTTGGATGAGAACGAACACCTTAACCTCCAGGCCACGAGAGCCCCTCTTTTTTATAGGAGAGGGTTTTACGGCGCTCGCAACTGCATAAGGTCATATGAGCGCCACCGCGAGAGCCCCCGATAGATGTTTGATTGAAAAGACGGTGCAAACCACAGCAGAGCACCCGTCAACCACCTGCAACATAGGCACTATAAGCCTCTATGGCTTGTATTATTAATAGCTAGCTTTTGTTTGAGTTCTTCTTAGTAAAGATGAGCACATCAACATGATAACAGCCATTTAGTGCTGGGGAAAAAAGCAAGGCTAGACAGACTTAAAAGAGGAATAAAAAAGAAATAGTAAGTACTTACCATTGTTGCCTTCCAAACCCCTACAAAAAAATGCTCAGTCCTAATCTATGGTTTGGATGCACAAGGTATATATTTTGTAGAATCCGAAATCAGTTCTCTCTTCCTCTTTGAGACCTGTCCCCTGAATTCACTGTTCTAAAAAGCAAGAAGATGCCTTGTCTTTGACGCAACCTCTTTCTGCCCAATGAATCTAACAGCAACAAAACTTGCAAAACAACAACAATAACAAAACAGCAACAACAACAACAACAACAGCAACAACAGCAACAACAAAAACAAACAGAAATAACAGCTGACCATCTCCGTTCCCACCCTCTGGCGTAGACACGTTCAATCTTGGCCTCAAGTACTTGCATCGGTGACGAAATCAGTATAATTTGATTATAAGAATGTAAATATGTATATAAAGTTGTTACTAATCAAATTTTGATGATACAGTATGTCACACAAAAGTATTTCTTCAAACAGAAAGGTGCTTACATTTGTTTTGAAATCGAGATTGGGTGTTTACAGGTCAACATGTTTATTGCATGTACACACAATTTATGTTGATGTTGAAATGCTAAGAGTTGCAAACCACAAAAATGTGAGTCATTTCGAGTGCAGGGCAACTGATCCCCAATAGGTCTACCAAGAAAACCAAAAAAATATATTACCCAAGTGAAAAAAAACCAACAAGACAGTTAAAAAAGAAAGGAAAAAAAGAAAATGACTAATGTTGTTATCCTCGGGATGAATTTAATGTTACCGCCATGAAAGTAAAATTGTACACATTATTTCACGTAGCTTGTTAACAAATTTGTAAACAGACTGAGGAAGAATTGTCATTTCTAACTAAAGGACACTCCCAGTTAATAGCACACAGATCTGAAAGCCTTACCATCATCATTCTTTCTCTTTCTTTCAGGGCATATGTACAAGGAATGGATATGTGCCCACTGAAACTGTGCAGACCGGTGCAGTTCCCAGTCCCAAAAAGCACACCGCACGTCTCACCAATTGTGGACAAAATTTGGGATCATTCTGTCTCCTGGTTTGTGCCTAATGGCGAGCTGGACAGACGTAAGATGCGTGGAAATGAGAGAGCATTTGACCTTGACTTCACCAAGAGGGAGAACGAGTACATCAAAGGTGCGTGCTAAGAATACGAGGAGAATGACTGAGTAAACGTGAAAGAGGATTAGAAAGAGGATGAAGAAATCATAAGTGGGGCTAAATAAATTATAAGCTGACAGCAAAATTTTCTGGCATAAATTGTATAATGATGGTGATAGTGACGGGCAAGAAGTGGGAAAGATGGAGAGAGAGCAAAATAAAAAAGAGAGGACCAAGAAGGATGGTAGATGTAATAGAAGAGCCTTTAAAAAAGGAAGCTAAAAGGGAGAGATAAAGATAAAAGGAGAAATGAGAGTGATGGGAGTGATGGGAGAAGCAAGCGGAAGAGTCCTTATAGAAGATTAATCCCCACCTTATCAGAGTGAGGGGGTGGGTTGTTTTTGTTTTTGTTTTGTATTTTGTCTCAAACACAACACTGTTTTGTAATCATTAGAGAGATTTTTAACACTCTGTTTGTGTCAGGTCCTTTGCTATATGGCTGTATTGTCAGGGCGTGGAACACTTTGATTTTCCAAGAATAAATGTCTCGGAGAAGATGAAAGCAGTAAGGAGGAGGAAGAGGAGGAAGAGGAGGAAGAGGAGGAGGAGGAGGAGAGAGAGAGGAGGAGAGAGGAGGAGGAGGAGAGAGCGCTGTAGTTTATAAGAACACAATGTCATCATCTATAACAAAAAAAGACAAAACAACTACACCTCTTTCCATAACCTTACCGAAAATTGAAAGCACAAAGAAAATCCACACCTATCTTAGAATTCGTTCCTCACCCCCCCCCCCCCCCCCTTCCCCATATACCGCCACCCAAAAACTAGCACTCCACCCTCAGCCCAACATTCTAATACTCAAATCACATTGCCTATTTAATATATCTATTTGTTCATTTGGTACAGTCAGATCAAATTCGGGAGGGTTTTTCACGGATTTGATCAGATTGTGTCAAAATGACAGTTTTTGCCACTCCGTGAAGAAAAATTCTTGCCGGCCCTGACTGCATCAAAATATGAATCAAATGTATTTTGTTTTAGTAAGATTTTTACAGCAGTTGCAACACAAACAGGTCTTATGATAAAATGTGCCGAAGATTAGAGGTGTTACTTGGGAATAACATACAAATAAATGAATGATGAGAGATACGGACGATAGATGTTTAATAGGAAGATGTTTAAGAAGGAGCAAACCACACCAAAACACCCGCCAACCACTCATCAGTCAAATGTGGCATGTGAGCAATATGGGCTGAATATAACACAAATATAATCAATTTCCTCCCGAAGAGCAGGCTTCGGCCGCCACCCGGGCAAAAATCAAGATAAATACCTACCAAAACCAAAATGCTTAAGGTGTCCCGCGCGCTCTTAATATGATCTCACGCACCTGCGAGCGTAAAAACCGTTCGAAAAACAATTTCCTCCCTCTTTTCTCTGACCTCTCAGACCACATCATCAACGGAAGAACCATGTGTGCGGCTGCTGGATTCCTTGTCATTGCCTGGAAGACGATGGCCTCCTTGAGATGGACAGTCTTCGAGGAGATGAACGTGGTCATCAAGGACGTGGTGTTCCTCCGACAGCGCTTCCTCGAGCCCTCAGGTAGACAGTTTTACAGTGAGATAAGGACTTGGGGGTGGGTGGGGGGAGGGTAAATGTGCATGGCATGGGCGGTGAAAAGAGGGCAGGAGATGTGGGGGAAGAGACGGACAGAGAGGAGAGGGGAGGGTGGAAAAGGGGGGGAGGAGTCGTTTCTTTTTCCACCTTCCTTGTAATCTACATTTTATAGAATTATCTGAACATGGTAATTTTTTTTAATTTTTTAAATTTTTTTGGGGGGGGGTTATCGTTTTTCGCCTTCTCTTTTGTGAGCTCTCACCAGAAAAAAAAGAATTATATTTGTATGAGTATTAAGAGCATGGAAGAAGAAGAAAGTTAATATACCCTAGTCTTGATTCCTAAGCATGATGAAAAGGGGAATGGTACTTTTCTGTTCTGGCTTCCGATAATCAAATCCTAAATTTCCTGTTCGTAGCTGGAGTTTACCATAACGTTGAAGTCCAAATAGACATCATGTGCCTAGTGTCATTTTAGTTTTTTATCCCCTATAATTTCATTGAGATTGACGCCATCTGATTAGTAGACAAAGGGGCGTATGATAGTGTCCACCAGTGCACTCCGTACACAATTATTATAACGTGTAACTGTTACAGATAGAGATTCAAGGAATACTGATGTATATCAAGGATCTGAGAGCAATGATGATTTTAGATATGAGGGCGGTGGTGAGTGAAGATGTGAGATGGTGTTTATGTAAATATTTATTGAGGAGATATTATTATGCATGTGTAGCATGAAGAGAAATACACACATGTAAGTCAATGCAGAACGAGGCATAACTTTCGTGCATTCCACCTGAACAGCTTGGACACTTTCACTGAACTGTTACTCATGAACTCAAGTGCGATATACTACACATAACAACAAGACAACTTAACAATTTGGTCTTAAGGTTAGACGCCACACGTTCATTCACTGTCAGGTGAGCTTTTTTATGATAGCGTTAGTCCAATCTTGTGTCTACTTAAATTATTTATGCTATTTGGCTAAGACTATTTGCTCACCAATTTATTGAAGCCGATCATAATAGCAAGCCCACTTACGCTTTGAAATGAAAAATGAGTTTTCCAGCACATTTTCCCTTCCACAGATAACGACGTGAGCTTCAAATGCCGTGTTCAGACCAATGGCATCTTTGAGATAAGCGAAAACGACGTCCCCTTGGTTCGCGGGTCAGTCTTCTTCCCTGACGAGGAGGAGGGAGGAGAAGGGGGAGAGCGACTGGTCAGCATTGATGTGCCAGAGCAGGATCTGACTCGCCAGACTGTCCTCAGTGCCGATGAGATCCGGCGCTCCATGCGAGTCCACGGCTGGGAGAACAAAGGGGAGTTCGATGCCATTCTCAGGGCCAACTGGGACTGTGAGTACAACGTCGTATGCGTCTTCGTTTGTCTTTTTAGTTTAAGTAAGAATTTTACAGCATTATTAACGCACTTAGGTCATATATTGTAAGTGCTGAAGATTGAAGGTTTAACCGAGACAGTTACAAACACAAAAGAGAAAGAGAGGTAAGGACGATGGATGTCAGAGAGAAAATAAAGGACAAATTACACCCGAGCAAATGCCAACCACCCGCGCGTTTGTCTTTGTTTTCTGTGTGGTTCTGTGTGTGCAAGTATACACAGGTTTGGTTGTGCCCAGGGGCGTTAGTGCATGATGTTTACACAATATGTGCACATGCTGAAAGCGTAAGTGTCGAGGGCGTGCATGTATGTACAATTGATTGCGCACGTTTTTCTTTAGGAGCTTGCACAGGAATAATGCTATGTGCCACATGCTGAATACTCATTCTCATTAAATATTCATGACTGCTTTTAAGCCTATTCGGAACCGTATCGAATATAAACTTTCACTTCGAAACGATTTCATCCGTACATTCGTTTGCTTTAGCCCGCGTATTTTGTTTCTATTATCTATAAAATCTAAGACATAGTGTCAATTTTTCAAATAGATTCCTAACTTTGTTAAAAACTAAAAAAGACAAACAGTGTGAGAGTTTCTTCTTTGTTCATATAGTTTGAATCAGCGTTGAGAGCTATCTCACAGCAACAACAAAAAACAGGAATAGAACCCTTTTCTGCTATAAGGGCTTTTCAATTGGCATTCAAAATAAAGATGTTATACTACATATTATTCCTCATTTTTATTTTTTTTTAAATAACAGTTTGGAAAGAATGAACATATGTTTGATAATATTTTATTTTCTTCTTTTTGTAGTTTTGTTTTGTTTTGTTCGTTCGTTTGCTTGGTTCTATTCATTATTATTTTTTCAAGAGAATTTTTTAGTTGTTTTTTTTTAGGGGTGGGGGGGGTGGGGGGATGAATGTGAAGCATATTTTTAATACAGCTCATTCTGACTACTTTTGCCTGTTTCAGACACCCAGGCGGACATTCTGTGGGACGGCAACTGGACGCCCCACATCGAGAACATTCTGCAGTGCATCACTCAGAGCAAGGGACTCAACTCGTACAGTGACATCGTCAGCATCGGCAGAATACAGATCGAGCCCCTTGAGCACTGGGAAGCTTCTGCTACCACGGACGAGGGAGAAGGTAGAGGCCCTCGATATTTATATAATTTTTTTTCTAATATCTCGGAGTGGGGGGGGTATGGAAAACACCAATGCATTCCATGTGTTGACACTAAACATGTGCCGAATTTTCTGTGTTTGTTGATCAAATAATTTTGATGTAAGCTGGTTTATTATAGTATGCATCTTCTTTGTGGACCATTAGCCAAGTTTGAAAAAAGGAGGAGCGAAAGAAATAGCAGTTTATGTCTACGGTTCTCATTTTGTTGAAGATGTTAGCTTTGCTATTGATATGGGTGGGGCCATGAAAGATATTGTCGTGTGTACTTCGCTTACAGAATATTGTCAGAGAAAAAGAATTCACTTCAGCTACGCTATCTTCACAAAGCTAGTAAAGAAGAAAAATGTCTTTCGTCACAAAGGAAAAATTCCCTTAGATATGAGGCTGCAGCTTCGGAAAATATTTATGTATATGATGATATTACCTGGAAAGAAAGACAATGAGGATCTTTCTAGTTTTATCATCTTTAAGTCCAACGTTAAAGTAAATCAAAAGTCTTTTCTGAAACACAGTTCTTTATTATGTGGGCGGTCTTTAACTGACCACAGTAACGACATTTACCTACAAAGAAAAAAATAAATGATATTGTTATTACGATCTGTTGTATGTGGCGTTAACTCTGATGTACACAGTCTGGCGCGCACACAATCTTTTACGAGCTCAAATCAAAGATAGTACATAACAAGATGGGCCACTCAGCCAAAAAAGTGTCCGCCGGAAGTCCACTCTTTGCTTCAGATGGCGATGCAGTCTGTTTTGAAGCTCTCTTTCGTTTTTCCAGAAGAAGAATAGGAATAGGACCTCCTTGCGAGCGCAGATCGACTGCTGTTCATCAGCAGTTCGGGTTCGTTCAGTGCGGAGTTTTAGGGTTTTTAAAAATATTTTAATGACCTCTCGCCTTTCATTCTAAAGTCACATTAAACGAAGAAAACAATCACCCTTTCCTCCGGAAGAGGTTTATTTGTCAGCGTAACCGTTTTAAAAAAGCGTTCTTTCGAAATATATTCAAAAACTTGCTAGTTTCACTTCGATTTTTTAAACTCAAGTAGGGTAACTCTGTTCGCAAAGGGTGCGCATTTGCGAAGAGGGCGCCACCGAATTTTGAGGACACTTTTTAATTGGCTCCAAGAGAGAAGTGGCCCCTCTTGTTATGTAGACTCTTTCCTCAAATCCGTGCATCGATTCCAAAATGCACTCCTGACTACCAAACAAAATCCCATACACAATATACTAATGATGGTGCTAAACGTCTAACATGCAGCCACGCTGCATGTCCAACTAAAGGACTATACTGAAAAGAACAAAACAAACGAAGGGACATGGGTGGGTGGGAGGTGTTATTGTGAAGTCTCAGGGAATTTGATGCCATAAAAGATCGAAAACTTTTTTTCCACGCTACTAGTCTTTTTTTTCTTTCTCGTTAGTTTATTAAATTATTTTCCAGTGTCTAGTCTTTTTCTAATTAAACCATATAACACTACACTGTATGTAATCTTCCCATCCATACATATCATTATGCTGTATCTAGTTTTCCTATTTTCAAATACATAATATCATGCTGTATCTAGGTCTAGTCTTCCCTTTTTTAAAATATTTGATATTATGCTGTTTCTAGCCTTCCCATTTTTAGAAATATTTATATTATTATGCTGTGTTTCGTCTTCCAATTTTTTTATCTACGTGTTGTGCTGTGTCGACCACTCATCTCATGTTTAATAAATAATATTGTGTTGTGTCTTCAGTACATCGTATGAAGCACGACCAAGTGACAGACACCACAGTCACAGGAAACATCGTCATTCAAAATGTCGAGGTCAAAGCCAAAGAGCTGCCCGTGGCCCACGAGCCTTTCCTGGCTGAAAAGTCGGAGTACGTCCGCTTCAAAGCAGAGCTCAAGCCGGTCAGTTCCTCGAGTGGTTAGGTTGTGCCTTGTCTCGTCTGCCCCCCCCCCCCCCACGCACCCCACCTTCTCTCTCTCTCTCTCTCTCTCTCTCTCTCTCTCTCTCTCTCTCTCTCTCTCTCTCTCTCTCTCTCTTTCTCCTTTCTTTCCACGTCTGTCTTTCTCGTTCTCCTTTCCTCATAGTCCATTTTCTTCTGTTGTCCTGGTGTTCTTCTTTTCAATACGGTTCTTTGTATTTTTTTGTTGTACATTTCTTTCTCATTCTACCTATGGCTCCGTTTATTTTTTTACATCTCACTAATTCTTGGCCTCATGAATATATCCATTTGCTTATGGGTTCAGCCATTGATCCAGTGGCGTCCGTAGCCTAGTGGTTAGGCTACCGGACTCGTAATCGTGAGATTGCGGGTTCGGGGATTCGAGCTTCGTGAATATATCCATTTGCTTATGGGTTCAGCCATTGATCCAGTGGCGTTGGTAGCCTAGTGCTTAGGCTACCGGACTCGCAATCGTGAGATTGCGGGTTTGGGGGTTCGAGCCTGAGCTCGGTCCGACGTTGTGTCCTGGGGAAAGGCACTTTACACGAATTTCCCGCTTGGCTCGATCCTATCGGAGACGGACGTTAAACTAGGAGGTCCCGCCCCTTAAATAACATAATAGTGTTGATAGGAGCGTTAAACACATACCATTTTCAACCATTGATTTATTTCTTTATCCTACTACTGTTTATATCCTTACCTTTTCTTTTTTGCATATCCTCCTACATCATACCGTGTGCCGCGTGCTCAGAGCGAGGAAGTTCAAGGCTACACATCGGACTGTCTTGAATACACAGTGGCGGGCCTGTCCAAACTGGTGGTGGAAGACCGCAAATCTGGGAACCTGCCCAACCGGGATGATGTCGTATCTGTTGTCAGCAAGAGGAAGTGCCAAGTTTCCATTGATGGCCAACTAAAGAAGTACGCCGAGAAACCAAACCACGGAATGGCGAAATTCCTGCAGAAGATTTTCCAGCTTCACGTCACTGCAGATTTCTCAAAACAAGTTTCTGAGCTGAAAGAAAACTTCCAAGAGGAACTTCAAGATGATGATCTACTGTCTATTTTGAGCTCTAATAACAACCTTCACCCAGCTCTGCAAATTGTTGTGGACAACACGAGAATTCCCAACAAGGCAGCCATGCTTGAAGTGGATGGGACAAAGTCGAAATTGTTTGAGAACATCACAGAAAAAGTAAAGAGATTCCCTCAGCTTGACGCCTCGTACACACTCTCAGACTCTGTTGATGCGAAGGATCTGGAAAAGTCGCACAACTTGCGCTATCTCAACTGGAGTTTGAGTAGCCCTGTCGAAGAGGACCCAGAAGACAAGTTCGATCTGGTTATCCTGAAGAATGTCCTCCACAGACAAGCAGATCTCGCTAAAGCTTGGGAACGCGTAGCTGCAATGCTAGAGGTTGGAGGATTTGTACTTGTTCAAGAAATCACTCAAAACTTCCCCATTGGAGCAACATTCGAGCTTCTTGGAGGTAACTATCCAGTTTGCAAAGACCGCCGGGACAACGGACGCTTCCTGACAGAATCCAGCTGGCTTTCCTTCTTCAAATCCATGGGATTCGAGTCTGTATACCAGAGGTCTGATGGAGCTCTTTCAACTCTGTTCCTTCTGAGAAAACCCAAAACAGATCCAGGTCTGACCTTGTTCGTGAATACAACAAACCCAAATACGTCATGGCTTTCAGAGGTTCAGTCCAAATACAAGCAGGTGGTAGAGTCAAAGGACGAGAATGCTAGATTGTGGATCTACGCTGACACTTTCATTACAGGCGCCCCAGGATTTTTGAGATCTCTCAGACAAGAGAGCTCTTCTCAGCCTTCACGTGTGAGGTGCATTGTCAAGGGGAATGTGGATCCTACCAGCAAACTCGTCAAGATCACTCCAGGTTCCGAGGAGTTCAAAGCACTGTCAAGGTTGGATCTTTGCGTCAGCGAGTACAGAGACGGACATTGGGGATTTGTGGCTGCAACGCCAATACCTACTGGTAAGTCGTTCTCTAAATCTTGGGATTTTGTTATTGTTTTTGTTGATGTTGTTGAGGTAGTCGTGTTGTTGGATGGTTTTGCTGTCGTTCATGTTAGGGTTGTGATGTTGGTGTTGCTATTATTGTTGTTGTTGTGTTGTTGATGTTGTTGCTGCTGCTGTTATTACTGTTGTTATTTTATTATTATTATTATTATTATTATTATTATTATTAATATTATTATCACTATTATTCGTTGTCATTGGTGGCACCTTTTTTCATTTATAATATAGTATTTCTTTTACTTGTCTCAGGAGTCGCTGCTCACGTGATAGTTTTAGGTTATCTTGAATACTTGTTGTTTTGGGTTGTTGTGGGGTTTGTTTGTTTTGTTTTGTTGTTTTATTTTAGTTGACTGGTTTATTTGTTTGATTTCGTACTACGGTAAGAATATTCAACACGTCCTCAGACCCCAAATCTCAGGCAGTGCCCAGTGGGCGTGCCTACCTGCACGTTGACAACCCAGGAGAGAATGCCTCCTTCCATTACCTACAGCTTCAAGCCACTCCCAAGTCTGACAACTGGGCAGCTGTTTACTACGCCGCTGTCAATGACGTGGACGTTGCCATGGCAACAGGGCAGACAGGTGCCGGAGGTATGGCTTCCGAGAACTTCCGAGGTCAATCAGGTCTCGGGGTGGAGTTTGTTGGACGTGACAAAAATGGACGACGATTGATGGGATGCGGTAAACAGAGGGTAAGTTATCGCTAGTTAGCTAGTTGTCTGTCTGTCTGTCTGTCTGTCTGTCTGTCTGTCTGTCTGTCTGTCTGTCTGTCTGTTTTTGCTCAAGTCAGATGAATTACTAACTGGAATAAAATTAAAACCCAAGGAAAGTTGTCGCTATATTAACTTGTATGCTCCAAGTGTTGACACTTTCTCTCCAGACAAGGTCAGGCGCGTCGCGGGAAATTTTAAATAACCCAACGGCATATTTCTCTGTCGATTGTTTGGACGTCTTGTGCGATAATGAGTTTTAATGGTCAATTATTTGTGGGTTAGCCCCTTAGACTCTGTCTGTCACAAAACACCAAAGGAAAGGATCGAGGAGGCTCAAGTCGTTGGAACAACGATCGTTCAAGTTAGCCTTTGGCTTTTAAGTTGTAACATAAATCTTTTTTGCTGTCGCACATGGGCAACTCTTGACCTGCTGGGCAATTTGTATTGATTTAATTTTTTTCAGCTATGTAACCTCTTCTCCTCACACTTTTCCGTATGATCGTATGATGTCTTGTTGTTTGCAAAAATGCACCTTTCCGAAAATAAGTAATATGATAATGTTTTTAAAATATTTACGTTTATTTATTTTTTTTCGTTTTGCCTGGAAGATGATCGCCACGGAGGTTGATCTGAGGGAGACAGTTCACGTGCCCATCCCAGACAAAATGAGTATGCGCGAGGCCGCAGCTGTCTTTGTATCTTACGGTACTGCCCTCTATGCTCTTGTGGTCAAGGCCAAAGTTCACAGAGGTCAATCGGTGCTCATCCATAATGGAACTGGGAGTATCGGCCAGGTATGCGAAAAAGTGTATTATATAAGTCATTGTTTTGATGATGTCAGTGGTGGTGGTCGAGGTGTTTGTGGTTGTGTTGGTGATAGTCATCGTCGACATGGTTGAGGAGACGGTGAGCAGGCATCAGCCGAATAAGACGTGAAGATGGAGAATGACAACAAGGACAATAGAGGAAAAGACGAAGGGTGGAAAAGGGGACAAACAACAGCGATGTGGATGAGGAAGACGATGATGAGGGGGGAAAAAAGTAATTCTGTATGGTGAAAGTAGAAGGGTAGAAGAAAAGGAAAAAGAGAATGGGGGATGAAGAAAAGAAGGAGGAGGAGGAGGAGGAG